CTCTGGCCTGTCATTATTCTATATTCCTTTTGTAATTATTATTCATTATTCATTTTTAGTATAGTTAATAAAGCGAAGTAAAGAACATGTTAAAAATACATCGGACCGTGTTTCACTTTTGCTAAAAATATATAATAGGTTATGGGCCCAGCACGCTTCCACTGCGAAGTAAAAAGCACGTGCACATAAAAAGTAGATTTAATACGTGTATAAAAATGTCGGGAACGGTGATTCGAGTTGAACCGCTTAACGCGGAAAACTACGATACATGGAAATTACAAATGAAAGCTATTCTCATAAAAAACGATTTATGGTCATATGTCGAAGGTACTGCGTCGTGTCCAACGGGCGAAGCGGCTGCAAAATGGATCAGCTTTGATCAGAAAGCGTGTGCTGATATAATGTTATCAGTAAGTGCATCAGAATTAAGATTAATTGCAGAATGCACAAATTCAAACGAAATGTGGATGAAACTACAAGCCACATATTCATCAAAAGGGCCTGCGCGCAAGGCGACGTTGCTGAAAAAGGTTGCACTTTCGCGCATGAAGGAGGGTGAAAAGGTTAGAGAGCACCTCAACGATTTTTTTGAAGCCGTGGCAAAATTAAAGGAAATTGACGTCACCATCGGGGATGAGCTTCTGGCCATACTGCTCCTATATAGCCTACCCGACTCTTTTAATACTTTCCGGTGCGCGTTAGAAACGCGCGACGAGCTGCCAAAGCCAGACATACTTCGAGTGAAAATATTAGAAGAAGCTGAATCGCAAAGGACAAAAGAAGACAGACATAGTGATGAAAACTCTCTATACATAAATCGAAATAAAAGCCGAAACGCAAAACAAAACAAACGATACAGTGATTCTAAACGAAACAAACAATGTTTTAATTGTGGCAAAATCGGACATTTTGCACGTGAATGTAAAAATAAAGCAAAAGCTGAAAATAACACGCAATTGAAAAATTCGGAAAAACCTGTAAACAATAATTTTAGCTATCATGTTGAAGATGCATTTATTAGCTCAATAAAAGAAAATTATTGGTGCCTAGATAGTGGATGTACTGCCCATTTAAGTGCAAACCGTGAATATTTTACAGACTTTCAAAAATCGAATAAAGTGCTTAACTTAGCAAACGACAACACAACAAATATAAACGGCGTCGGTAAAATGAAAATAACTGTAGACGTATACGGTCGTGATAATAACATTGATCTTAAAGAAGTTCTATATGTCGAGGACTTGCGTACAAGTCTACTTTCTGTATGAAAAATAGTAGACAGCGGATATGAAGTGCATTTTCGCCCTTCAGATGCAATCGTATTGGACAAATATCAGAAGGTTATAACTCGAGCGAAAAGATGTGGAAATCTTTTTATTGTTGAAAATAAAAATCATTTTGCACAAGTTGCTGAAGAAAAATGCGACATTGAAAAGTGGCACCAGAAAATGGGCCACATAAATGAAAATGATCTTAAAAAATTGACTAGTAATAACCTAGGATTAAAATTAAATCCTAAACAAAAACTTCCGACTTGCGAAATTTGTATTAGTGAAAAACAAACACAAAAGTCATTTCCGTAAAGAAACTAGAACAAGTGATTTATTAGAGATCGTGCATAGTGATGTGTGCGGACCAATGAGAACAGCATCAAATTCGGATGCAAAATATTTCGTAACATTTATTGATGACAAATCACGCTATTGTCATGTATATTTTATAAAACAAAAATCCGATGTATTAAATGTATTTAAGCAATACAAAAGAGCAGTAGAAACATTTACGGGTAAACGAATTAAGGCTTTACAATCAGACAATGGTAGAGAATACGTTAATTCTGAATTTAATTTATTCTTGAGGAAATTTGGTATACAAAGACGCTTAACTGCTCAATATACACCGGAGCAAAATGGTATTGCTGAACGTAAAAACAGAACTCTAGTTGAAATGGCCCGTTGCATGATGAAACAAGCTGAAGTTCCGCCAAATTTTTGGGCAGAGGCCATAAATACAGCGTGCTATATTCGGAATAGGTGTCCTACAAAAGCATTGAACGGTGTAGTACCGCACAAGTTGTGGACTGGTAAAATGCCAACTATTGTACATTTTCAAGTATTTGGCTCTAAAGCATATGTCCTAAAAAAGGATAAGACTAGAGATAAATTCGATTCTAAGTCAGAACCTTACATGTTTGTTGGATATTCAAACGAAGCAAAAGCCTATCGGCTATGGTCACCTACAAAACGAAATATAACAATAAGCCGTGATGTCGTGTTCGTAAACAAAAATATCTATCATAATAAATACGAAAACATTTATATTAACAATGAAAATGACTGCCAAACAAATGATTATATCGATATTGCGTTCGAAAATTCTGAAAATCAGAAACCGTCGGTCAATCCGAAAATTGTAGAAAATACAGATACGCGAGAAGAAAACTCCATTCGTAGAAGAGGTCGTCCGAGACTTATTCGCACAAATTCACGCGGTAGGCCTCGAAAAGAATATTACACGTCAAATCGGAATGGTGAAGAATCATCCAACGAAGACGAAAATACAAGTTCAGTAAGAAAAATTACTGATAAAAACCATTCAGATGGTGAACCTGACAACAACGTTTTTGAAGATTGTGAAATGGCGTTTCTCACTACATATCAAACTCCAGTAACGATTTTGGAGGCACTTGAAAGCGATGAAACAAATTCCTGGTCAAAAGCGCTAGAAGACGAAATGGTGGCACAACTAAAGAATAAAACATGGGAAGTGGTCGAAAGACCGAAATCACGAAAAGTTATTGGGAATAGATTCGTGCTTCGAACTAAAGATGACGGAAAACAGAAAGTACGATTAGTAGCGAAGGGTTTTGCACAACGACCAGGTGAAGACTTTCATGATACGTTTTCTCCAGTCGCTCGTTCAACATCTATAAGACTACTTGCGGCACTGGCAGCAAAAATGGATTTGGAGATCCATCAGATGGATGTCATTACAGCATACCTAAATGGAGAGCTCGAAGAGAGTGTCTTCATGGAAATTCCCGATTATCTTATACCATTCCTAAACAAAGTTGTTTCATCAAAACCAGTGGGAAAAACTTCAACAATATTGTGTGGAAAAGTTAAAGAAACAGCGCAGCATTGGTTAAAGGCGATTAAATCAAGTAAGTCACCTGTATGTTTATTAAAGAAAGCTCTTTATGGACTCCGTCAGTCTGGGCTATCATGGTACATGAAATTGACAAAGAAACTACAGAATATGGGTCTAAGTGCAGTACAACAGGATCCTTGTGTATTCACTAAGCGAGAAGGCAACGACATTGTTTTGATGACAATATATGTAGATGATTTACTAATAGCGTCCAATAATAAGTTTCGTATAAAAGAAATAAAGGCTGCACTTGCGAATGATTTCGAAATGAAGGATTTGGGAATAGTAAGTAATTGTCTTGGCATCGAGTTTCATCAAAATTTAAGCAAGCATCAAGTTTTTCTTTCACAAGAGAAGTATGCAAAAAGCATCATTGAAAAGTTCAATATGAAAGACTGTAAACCAGTGAAGACTCCCATAGAATTGAACATTAAGTTAACGAAACCAACAAAAATTGATGAAGGTGTTATGAAGATGTATCCCTATCAAAGCTTGATAGGAGCATTAATGTACTTAGCTGTTACAACTCGACCTGATATTGCGTTTGCTGTAAACTTTCTTAGCCAGTTCAATTCAAATTATAACGTGGAACATTGGAAAGCAGCAAAACGAATTCTAAGATACCTTAAAGGTACAAGCAACTATGGTCTATTGTATGAGAAAAACAATGAAGAATTGTATGGTCTGGTTGACGCTGATTGGGGCGCTGACTTAAACGATAGACGTTCATATTCAGGGTATGCGTTCATTATATCAGGAGCAGCGATATGTTGGGAAGCTCGAAAGCAACGTACAGTAGCGCTTTCAAGCACTGAATCAGAATATATGGCCATATCTGAGGCCACAAAAGAAGCGTTATATCTAAAGGCAATCCTTGATGATGTTGGCATTACAAGTAAAACAATTGAAATCTTTAATGATAATCAAAGCGCTCAAAAATTAACGGAAAGCTTCAGGTATCATCCACGGACAAAGCACATTGATATTCGTTATCACTTTATTCGCAGCAAGGTTAACGACGGCACTGTTAAAATCAAATATATGCCAACAGAAGAAATGCCCGCAGACGTCCTTACCAAAGGACTCACTACAGAAAAGCATGTTAATTGCTTACGGAAATTAGGAATGAAATATTAAAGTCATATTTTATACATAATAAAAGCACTTTAAGAGGGGGTGTTGTTATGTAAAGTACTTTTTAAATATTAATTGCCTGGCAACTCTGGCCTGTCATTATTCTATATTCCTTTTGTAATTATTATTCATTATTCATTTTTAGTATAGTTAATAAAGCGAAGTAAAGAACATGTTAAAAATACATCGGACCGTGTTTCACTTTTGCTAAAAATATATAATAATAATTAATAACTTATTCTTTGCCAGTGAAATCTCTTCACCTTATCACCTCGTGACGAAAGATGTCTATCATGAAAAAAATCAAATTTTGAAATGATATTTAAATTAATTAAGAGCTAACTTTTTTATTCTATTATTCTATAGTATAAATATCATAATATATATAAATATTAAATTTCATCAAATAAATATATTTTCTTTTTAATGTCTTCTGTTTCAATAAAATTTTTTAAGTACGTTTTGTTATTATGATTATTAATGTTCTCATCATTGCAAATTATATTTCCTCTGATATTCTTTATTAATATAAATATTACGATATTGATAAAATTTTAAATTTTCGTTGTAACTGGCCACCTACCGCAATAACTGCAAAATGTCACAGCAAGATATGCGATTTGTATGGAAAAATTTGAAATTCCACCCATAAGTTTATTTCGCTGAGTTTGACGTTTCGTTGTTTTGATTCGCATTCACCAACTGCCAACTGCTAAACAGGGCTTCGCACAGCAGCTGATTTCATTGTCAGAGTTTACCATTTGTGTCAACCAGTTTGTTTACGAAAGTTTATAAAAACGCGTAAGTGAATTTGTAGTAATTTCCAATAATATTTTTTTTAAAAAAAGTATGCCCAAAATAATAAAAAAAATAGTTACTGGAGAAATTGATGTGATAAATGAACTTTCCATAGAAATTGAGAAACGTGCTTGTACCGCGATTGGTGCTAAAGGTATTTTTCGTTTGGGCTTATCTGGTACGTAACCTTGACCTTTTCGTAATGCATTTCAAATTGAATTATATTTTTCAATACATTTTAAAGGTGGTTCGATGGTGAAATATTTATGTGACGCTGTAACGAGCATTAAAACCGATTTAAGTAAATGGAAGTTTTTCTTTTGCGATGAACGTTTCGTTGACGTAACCAATGGGGAATCCACATTTGGCGCATACAAAAAGTCTCTAATAGCGAAGACAACATTATTGGAATCACAGTTCGTTTGCATTAACACTGATATTTCATTAGAAGAATGTGCTAAGGATTATGAAGAGAAAATTCTGAAGGAATTTCAATTAGAATATGGAAGTGTACCTGAATTTGACGTGTTATTGTTAGGAATGGGACCAGACGGCCATACATGTTCGCTATTTCCCAATCAAAATGCTTTGGTTGAAAAAGAGCGTTTAATAGCTCCGATAAGCAATTCTCCTAAACCACCTCCGCAGCGCATAACAATGACACTTCCACTAATAAACAACGCAAAATGCTGCATTTTTGCAATGACTGGTGCTGGAAAAGCCGATATAGTAAAAGTAAGTATATTTGATTTTTGGGTACGATATTTTCATTATATTTATGTATGTGTTCAGCGTGTTTTCGTGGACAATGAACCGCTTCCAGCTGGAATGGTAAATCCCAAACACGGTTGTCTCGTTTGCATTTTTGATAAAACTGCTGGCATTCATCTCAGTGATAGCAACTAATAAATTTGATTGCGAGTGGACCTACATTGGTTTTGGATTTTAAAATAAATTAAGTGTCTGCTGTAAAATGGGGCTTTTGGCAATACTAAAACGAATTTTTTATATTTAGTTATATTGAGGTATATGTTTGATTAAAGGAAACACATTTCAACATATACAAATTAATACCTGATTTTTATTAAATACTTTAATCTTTTACAATTACAAACTTAAGACTATATTTTATACAAGTAAACGTACATATCAACTAAGAAATGAAGTGCATTTTTAGCTTTTGGCAAGTATTCCTTTAACGTCGATTCAGTTAAATATTCGATTTGTGGAAGTGTATGACTTAGCCACATATGTTTTTCTTTATCGTACCGTAAATACTTGAATCCTTGGTTATAAAGGAATCATTGTCTCGTTCCTTCTTATACTGTTCTCGTAGTAAAGGATCAGATGGACCCCAGTTTGGCTTTGGACTAAAAGCTCCACGAATTTTTTCTGCTAAAGTTGTGCCAGGATCACGAATTATTGCAACACACATCCATATTGGTACCTGAAGCACACCCAACGAGGTGATGGTCCAACCAAGTGCTGTGAAAAAATTTTGTGTTTAATAAATATTGTAAAAACTGAATTCTTAAATACATACCGTACGCCCAAGTAGGATATGGCACATCATTGTAAGTCAACTGAGTATATGTGGCATAAAAGTAAATTAATATCATCGTCATAATCAAAGGAGTCACGACAGCCCAACATATACGCCAATACAGTCCGATTTTTCGATTCATCATAAATTCAGCATCTTTACATAAGCGGTCAACACCATAGACCCAACCTAAAACATAGAGTTCAATGATACCTAAAACTAAAGCAACCATAGAAGCCCCAAAATAGTCCACAAGTGTCAGAATGAATTGGCCACCCTATAAAGAAATAAAATTAATTGAATTTAAATTTAAAATTTCTGTTTTTGGTTTTTTATATTTACTGGAGTCACATAGGCTAAACCAATTATAAAACTAATAATTGCAATACCCAATGCACATTGCCATTGTTTAATTTTTGGAAAATGGTCTCGTATCGACGTGACTGTACAGGAAGTCATAGCAATAATGGATCCAATACCCAAAATAAATAACATCAAAAAGAACAATACTGCAAATATTTGGGGAACGTTTTTGAACTTCGAAATCGCATCAGGATACGAAATAAAGGCCAGTCCTGTGCCACCCTTCACAACACTTCCGATATCAGTAGTACCAATCTCATGAGCTAAGTTGCCAAGTATTCCAAAAATCGTAAAACCTGACAGCAACGAAGTACACGTGTCTAATGATGTGACAATAATAGCGTCTCGATGTACATTGTGGGTAAATTTATTGTAGGAGGCATACATTATGATATTGCCAAAGCAAACAGACAGCGAATAGAAGCACTGAGTTACAGCTGCGTACCAAACCTTCATACAATTAGAACAAATATTTATAAGTGGCTTTAGAGATTTGATTATCTAATGCATACCTTGGGATCTAAAATTTTACCCCAATTGGGTTTAATGAAATATATAATGCCATCGATAGAACCAGGTAGCGTTACTGCACGAATTAACAAAATACCCATAATCACATAAGGAAAAATGGCCAAGAAATACGAGGCTTTTCCAGAACTTTTAACTCCACGTATAATAACCAAATATATGCAAATCCATGCAATGATTAGTCCTAATACAAGTTCCCAATTCGGCAAGCCAATGCCATCATTAATACTATCTTTCTCGCGTAAAACTTCTTTGCTGTGTAAATAAGATTTATTTTAGAGATAAGTGTTAAAGATATGTTGTTGTTTTTTCTGTTTCATCAAACACCAGTACCAAATTCACCACTTACACAAAATAGAACTCCGAACTTGATATCATGCGTGTCCGTTCCGTTCTTGTTAAATTAAAATTACTCATAGAGAAGTTATTCATTTTTAAATACCGCAACAGCCAAGCTTTGGGCGAAGCATCAATGCAGTTTTCACCCCACTCCAGCCTGCAGTTTGCCCACGGCAGTGGATCCCAAAATGATACCACCAAATAGTAAGCAACTAAAGCTACTATCGAAGTGTAATACGTGAACAGTAAACTCACCATATATACTTGACCAATCCCAATGCCTTTAAAGTAATGAATTTATGTGTTATTAAAAAATGGTTTCATTTATTAATGAAAGCGAATTGGTTATTTTAGTCTAAGTTGCGATGGTAATAGCGGTGAGGATGAATGTGTATAGAACGATGCGGAAAAATTAAATACCACAAGAATGATTAGCGCATAAATCATTTTTTTAATAATACAACAATTCAATTTGTTAATAAATGATTTATATTATAATTACCAATGCAATTTGTTACTTGTTGTGAGATGAATCTATCAACAACGGATTAGTGTTTTGAATTTTTAAATAATGTAAGTCTAATTAATGGATATATGATTAGAAAGACAATATTCCTTGTCTACTTCGTAAAATTGCCAGTATGTTTTGTGAGCTACGTCCTGGAACAGCTATGTTGTACATTTATTGTATTATTTCATCGAAATTTTTTACTATACACTTTATATTGTAATTGAATTTAATTAATTTATTTAAAATTATGTGACGGTTTTTGTATATTTTATTGATTCGGCTCTCACATAAATCAATCACAATGGCGTTCTTTGGTCGTTTCCACATGTAAATACTCGACTTCCTATTAAAATTGTGTTATAATTTAACAATCAATAAGAAATTTGTTTCTGTATTTTGATTTACGTTTCTTTTGTAAATTACTTAAATTGCATCGATTGACGATTGTCTGGTGTAATCAATAAAAATGTTTCATCATATTATGATAATTTACGAAACAAGTATTACATGGAACGATACCTTCAATCATTAATACTTACTTCCTAAAGTATCGACAACTTGCAGCACATTCTTCCAAAACTTCAATTGTGAATTGATCTTATTATATGTCTTAATAAATCTGGCAATAGTTCACGGATATCTCTACACTTTTCTGTGTTCATATATGTATATAATATAATATATTTAATAATATATGATTTCTGTAGTAACTATTTCGTGTTAAAATGTGAGGAACTATAGCAGCAATACTAAATAGCTTACTAGAATAAAATATAATAGCTAAAAACAGGGTCCTGATTTTCCAATGGAACGAAGCATTATGACTATAATAGATCTTTTATGTCATAAACTCATCCTAATTGAACAGAAAACATCCAGCATTTGAAATAAAGTAAAGAATATCTCCCATCAGGGACATTCTTTTATCAAATATGAAGAGGACACCGTGCCTTGTTATGTTCCTGCTGGAAAAATTGAACCCTAAAAAAGGTAACTAGAAGTATGAAACTCTTCTATTTTATTACCTTAAATGGATCCATTTGTTAATAGCTAAAGCGTATTGATTGCTGCTTAACTATCTGTAAAGGCTTACCTAACTGAGTTGAAAAATTAGAAATGGCATCAACAATAAATTATAACCTTCTAAACATATTAGGCTTATGTAAATGATATGTTGTGTTTTCCTAAATATTATTTTTATTGTTAGGGGATTTGGCACTGCGACCGTCGGGTCTATTGTGCCCCCTTCTGGGCTTAGAGTAGGTCTTTAAACCCTGTTGCGTCAGTAAAAAGTAGTATAGAACCTAATTTACAGAGTTTTATTGCCTCTTCTGTAATAATATACATTCCTAGGAGCCCATTTCGTATGTGCCTAATACCATTTATATTACATTTAATTTCCATTAATAAGACACTTAATTTTATTATTTTTATGATCTTTCTTCCATGATTGCTATTATTAATGTAAATAAGTATAATTAATATAGAGTTAGTAAAAAATGTGCTAACTTTAGATATTGTATATTCATTTTGCTAAAATTAACCAGTGTACGTTAAACGAAACATGCAAAATAGAACAAACTTACAGGAAATACAGTTCAGCAGAAGACTTGGGCGTTTGACTATCTGTACTGTGAGTGAAATTTTGAAACGAATTATTATTTCCATTAGTGGATGCAATACACGCAGCATTCCATGACTCCTCACATATGGACCAAGGTAATATGGGTTTAAATGAATCAAATAGATATCGAACAGTCATGCCCATAATAGCAACATAGTATGTGGTCACAACGGATATGGATACAACTTGACCAACGCCAACGCCTTGCAAACATAACAATGATTATATGACACACATATAATGAAGTCATAACACAACGTGTCATTACAAACAATGCTTGAAGTTTTTGTACCTACCTCGCATCGCTGGACAAAAGTCATACACTTTCACTGAGCCACGACTGGAGAATTGACCGATTATCATTTCCAAATAGTAGATGGGCTTGCCAATCAGAAAGAGAACTATCAAATAAGGTATGAGAAAAGCACCTCCACCATTTTCCAAGGCAGTGAAGGGAAAACGCCAAACGTTACCCAATCCAACTGACATTGCGATGCAGGAGAGCAAAAATTCAATACCTTTTCCCCAGGTATCACGTTCTTTTGCAGGTTTAACTTTAATTGCGGGCTAAGGTGTCATAAATTTTTGGTAAATTTATTTATTTACTACTTCAATCGAATATTCTACTTACTGTTGTTTGAGTATTTGTGTCATTGGGTGTTTCTCCGTCATCACCAATGAAGGCAGGATTTTGATGTTGAGTTGCCATATTTAAAAGTATTTCTTTCTCGATAAGTTAATCAAATGACTGCAAGTATAATTATAATTTTTATGATATTAACAAATTATCAACAATTTTACTCGAATATATAAAAAATTATATTTTTATTTTAATACCAATGCCAGACTTTATGAGTGATTATGTAAATTAAAATCAATAAGTCTCTAGTAGCTAATTTAGGTTTTTATTTTAAATTTATCTAAATTGGATAATAATTAGTAAAAACGATAAAATCATTAACCAGAAAGGAAGAAACGTTATTTCTTCATACTAATAATAATTTGATAGAAACGAAGTTTTTTTCATGCCCAATCGACTGAGCTAGTGAAAGAACGCGCTCTCTGTCCATTAAGGACTTTCTTCAGGCTAACATCGCTCCACAAATATCTGTACTAATGTAAAAGTTCTATCTGTCTAGAAAATAATATAACTTAACTGCACGTGTTATATATATTAGTAACTATATTTATCCTGAGTCAATAAAAGGACAGTATAACACGAGTTCGTGATTTCAAGAAAGAACATTATAGTTATCATTAAGCAAATAGAATATTTACAAAAACATCTAATAATATCGCAGGCTTTCACTTTCACTTGAAACTATTCGCCTCTCTTAGTTATTTGTTTATTTATATTAATAAATATAAAAAGTTTCTCCACCGATTGCTTTACAGATGGGTTATCTGCATAAAGTAGATTTGAGAATTTCATTTGGAAATACACATTTATATTTACGAAACACTTAGTTATTGGTAAATATTATTTATTTAACAAAAATATGTTTATAAAAATAAAGAAAGTAAAATAAAACATAAGAATAATAATTAAGGTAGAGGTAAAATGCAATTCTTGAGTCATGTTTAAGCAAACTCATTATTGTGGTTATCTCCAAAAAAAAAAACAGTTAAATAAATAATTCGAAGCTTAAATAAATATTTCATTTGTGAACTGATGAACCTTTTGAATTATTCATATTGAATTATATTGGGTTTAAATATCATAAACTTGCAATTTAATAATAACCGCTGTTGCTATAAAGAAACATTTGGAATTCACCATTAATGGTATACGCATCAGTATATTTGATATCCAAACCCCTCGCCTAATACAGTAATTACGCAAGTATATTAACTAATTCTTTTAGCTTTAAGCTTGTATAGTAAATCTCGTATTTCTTCGATTCTTCCAATACTAATTGAAGTATAACATATATTAACTCTACCATCCATATGATTGGCAAATGTGCTCTGCGGAATGTCGAGTATTGCAACTATAGTCTTGGCTTATACTAAACTGCTTGGTTCTTTAAGTAAGCATCATTGGATGAAGTCATAACTGAAATAAGATCTTGGTCTCACATATGTTACTTTTATTCGGTTATTTTTAAAGGTCAGCATGGCAGTGTATTCTTACTATATAGCATTTGCGAACATCTTTTTTCTACAAAAAGAAAGAAAGATTTAGTTTCCTCTTCTCTTTCTGTTATAGATGAAGTGAATAAGTTCATTTAAGTGTCTGTTAAACAGTATAATAACATTTCTCTATAATTTCAACCAATAAAGCTAAAAAATAGTTGCATAACATCATATTAGTTCCAGAACTCTCCTAGATACTAAAGCAATGAATACCATATATCAACTTTTGAATCGAATTCGAACATAATTTTTTATTGATAATTTATATATTTAATTAATCTCTCTTCAGTTGCTGAGCAGTTGAGCGATTCATCATTCATTCATTAGTCTCAGACTCTAATAAGATCCAAACCATCATCCAGTGCCAATCTATGATTGTGAACAGCGACACACGAATATGGAATGTGATATGTTCGCATGGAGTTATTTGAATTATGTAAACATTGGATGACAGTAACTGAGATAGCAATGATGATGATGATAATAATGATGAGATGATGGCGTTGTTGGCGATGACGGTCATGGCCAAATGTACAATAATTTTATTGCTGTTTTTTTCTCAAAACTCAATATAACGCTATAAAAGAGTCCAAACTTGAAATCACTGAAAGTGGTATCCAGTCGAAACCAGTTATGGTTGTCCACGTGATTGACATAGTTTTGGAACCAAGTGTAAAAATAAAACAAAAAATTATTTGTTGCAGTTCGCAATTTCCAAGCAATGTAAGTGCATTTTTTGCAGTTTGATTAGTTAAACATTAAAATATTATTTTGCTTGAAAAAAAGTACAAATTCATCTTCAACTTTAAACAAATAGATCAACAATAAAAAAGGAAGATATACAGATATCTATTGGTATTTTAGCCTGAAGCTTATTTTTTAACATTGATCAGTGAGATTTAACTATTTACGTGAATTTAGTAATATTTGTAGCCATAAAAAAGATTTATTTTCTCAATTTGTTCATATTTGGAAAAATTTTAATTATTTCGAAATAAAAAGCATTATTATGTGTACTGATCGATTTGGACTGACAAATTTGCCAGTAATTTTTTTATTGATACAGTTAGTTGAGGTCTAAATACCGAATTATGTGCTTTGAATTCACAAGCTTGGACCACGATTATTAATTACATTAAGACCGAAAAGTTTTCGGAAATTCTCATTTAAAATTCGCGCGCTGTATATTTTTCGATATTTTAAGTTTATGTAGTTTGGCAGCAATTAAGGACAATTACTATGCAAAAAATGAGAGCGATCTGTCAGACAGTTCGTTTACGGCAGCTGTTGAAACCAGTTCACCTCAGTAGTGCGTTGCGAAAAAAACAATGGAAAAAAATATTGAACAAAGAGTTTGCATCAAATTTTGTGTTTCGAACGAAATTTCGTGTGCAGAATCGTTGCGAATGCTACAAAAGGCTTATGGGGAATCAGTTTTATCGAAAACTCAAGTTTATGAGTGGTACAAAGCCTTTCAGGACGGTCGTACGACCGTCGAAGACATTTCGCAACGCACTACTGAGGTGAACTGGTTACAACAGCTGCCGTAAACGAACTGTCTGACAGATCGCGCTCATTTTTGGCATAGTAAATAAGGACAGTGCTGCCAAACTACATAAACTTAAAATATCGAAAAATATACAGCGCGCGAATTTTAAATGAGAATTTCCGAAAACTTTTCAGTCTTAATGTAAAATTAAAAAAATATACAGAAAATAATAATAAAAGATTCCTTCTTTAGAAGGATTCCTTTTTTAAAATGCAATAGAAAATTTCTTTTTAATTATAGTTAGGATACATTGTATTATGCCTTTTCTGATTGGGCTTCAGGATGCACTAAACCCAAAAAAAAGTTTGTAGATTGTAATAAAAAATATGAATATAATATTTAAGATTTATACATAAATATATTTATATATAATTTATATAAAAATACAAATAAAATTTAAATTTGTTTACTATTAATATAAATAATTACATTATTAAAATAGTAATAATTAATTAATAAAAAAATAATAATATAATTAAATAATTAAAAAAAATAATTAAAATCTAAGTGAATAACACTAAAATACCGTTTCGAAAGTATCTCAAATAAACGTTTAAAATCGAGACAGAACCTAGGAATTCAAACTAATTTTGTGGAAAAATACTTAAAATAATTTCTAAGCACGTAAATATTAATTGAAATTTTTTTTCGATTTGTTAATACAAATTCATTTAGTCTTTAAAGTAAAATTAAAATATAACAAATAAATATCATGTTAACTAAATTAAAAATATTGTTTAGCCGCTAATAAAGCTGCTCAGCAGACAACTTCCTGCCTTCATTTCCGTAAGTTCTCGTTGCCTTAAGCGGTTGTTGTTACGTGAGAAGTGAAAGTATTTCCATAATAAATATTAATCTTTTAAAATGTTTATGAACTATTAAAAAATGCTGTTATCATTGTTTATGTTTTTCTCTATAGTAAATAGAATAATTGTTAGTAAATTACATGTTTACTAGCTCATTTAGCAATAAAGTTCAAGTTCGGTTTCAAAATACGAATTACATATACACTAAAAAATTATAAACTTATATAAATATAATTAATGAAACTATTTTATTAGATTAATAGAAAAGAAAGTTATAATGAATTTTTTCTGACATCAAAAACCGTTAAATCGAGATCATATACTTTACTTATAATAAACACTAAATATTACAGAGTTATCCATTGTGTGGTTTCAAAAGTAAGCGTAAATCCAGCATGTTTGTGATGGAGATTTTTGAGATCGAATTCTTTTTTCAATATACATATAGTTCAAAGCTTGCCATTACGTGTAAAACTTAACATATCCAAATATTTTCCATGGGACAAGTTTCAAAGTGTCAGGAGGTTGAAGATTGCCCTATGCGTGCCTGTCCTATGCCTATATACCAATGGAAATTTGAGACTTATCACCAAAAAAAATTTGATGCGAAAAATCTTTAACATTCTTATATTAACTTTTTTTAATTTTAAAATGTGCGGCGTTTATTCAACAATATGTATATATGTATATATTCTATATTATATTCAGTCGTTGGATGTCATAGTGTATGTCATTGGAACAATGCTACAAATTTACTTTGGAGTTTCGTATTTTGAATTTGTATCTGAACATTTTTGACTTTCCTACGAAAGCATAATCGAAATAAGAACAACTAACAAAATTCATATATACAATGTGCATCTCTATATCTAAAATTCTTCTTAGTATTGAAATTTAGATAAATATGAGTGAAAAGCGTTTATAATTTTCAGTGTCAACTAGTGGATAAAACGAAACTTACATAACGTTTAAATAAAAAAAGATAAAGGCAGTTAACCTTGGTTATATTTTATTTGTTAAAAATTAATAAACTTCTCATATAGCAAGTTGTATTATAAATTGTTTAATAATCTATTAATATTCATAGAATATTTACAAACAATAACCATAATTTAATTACAATATTTTATAAAACATACTCCTCCAAAATATATTCTTAATGCTCCACAATAGTAACTCGTAAGAAACAGGCTCTTTATCATATACAAGATTTTTCCTTTCGCTTATTGTTATGCTCAACACGTTTATGGGGCATCC